GCTGGGGATTAAACCCAGGGCCTTGTGCATGTGAGGCAAGCAACTTCTACCAACTGAGCTATATCCCAGCTCCATTACTTACTAATAATTTCTTCTGGTCATCAGTAGGGAAAAAATTATCCGTAAAACTACAATTGCAAACCTCATATAGCTATCAAAGGGAGACTGAATCTGAAAAAATGGGCTTACTGACAAATCCCCTTATAGCACACTCTTCTACCAGCACAAAGTCAGCTCTGTTCAGATTTTCTAAAAGATTATTTATCATATTTTTTGTCACTTCACATTGTAAAGGCAATCCCTTCCCACTTTAAAGCTTAACTGAATGTTTTAATTTCATTATTTTAATATATTACACAGATATTTAAAATAGGCTTTTTTCATGATTCCTTTAAATTGTTATCTAAGTGATGTAGAAATCTGAACATTAAATATTTCCTGTTAAAGGACATAAAAGAGAAATGATCTCACCCTGGCAGGTGGTGAATTTGAACTCTAAAAAGTAGAAGAGCCGAGCACGGAGGCACACCCTATAATCTAAGCAGCCCAGGAAGCTGAAGCTGGAGGATCACGAGTTCATAGCCAGCCTCAGCAAAAATGAGGCATTAAGAAACTCAGTGAGACCCTATCTCTATATAAAAAATAAGAAACAGGGTTGAGGATGTGGCTCAGCAGTCAAGTGCAGCCGAGTCCAATCACCGGTACCCAACCCTGACCCCCAAAACTAAAAAAAAACCCAAACCACTAAGGGTATACCAAGAAGTCAACCAGCCAAGGCTAACGCTCTATAAATATTGTGAGTATATAAATTAAATCATATAATGGAAATGAAGCAAAAAAGTACAACTAAAAGTTACTTATGCTTCGATAGTACAATTTGGGTGGTGAACTAATAAATCTCTGATTTCACACATAAACAAATGTTTCACAATCACAGAACAAATAAAAGGGCTCTTTTACACTTCAATTTCAAAATGGAGCTGTTGAGGTTTAAATGGATTTGCACACAGTAAAAAAAAGAAAAGATCCTTCTACCTTTCACTATTTTTTTCCAGAGCAAAATTAACCTACCATATTTTATAGCAAACTTAAAAACCAAGGTGGAAACAACCCAAGTATCCTTCAACAGCTGGATGGATAAACACGTACACCTACAATGGAATATAATTTAGTCTTAAAAAGGAAAGACATTCTGACATATGCTATATGAATATGAACCTTGAAGACATTATGGTAAGTGAAGTAAGTCAGTCACAACACCACAAATTCCCCTTATGTGAAGTACCTAAGATAGTCAAATTCATAGAGTCAGAAAATAGAATGAATGGTAGTTGACAGGGATTTGAGGAGGAAGAAAAGGGGAGTTACTATTTAACTAATAAAGAGTTTCACTTATGGAGGATGAAACAGTCTCAAGATGGACAGTGATGATTATACAACAAAATTCAACATTGAATAAACTAAAAGTAGGTAATTAATTTCAAATAATCAAGACAGTAAAATCAGATGTACTCAAACTCTGGCTCTTTATAAGAGCCTCTAAATGCACCCAATCTAATTCACCAACTATGTTGGAATTTTAAAACTGAAATCAATCACCTCACACTACTGTTATTTTCTCCGACTGCAGTAGAGGGTTACAACAGAAGTCCTGTGCCCTCCACATATGCTGTCCACCTATCATTCTTTCAGCTTCTGTTTACTTTACCAGCCATCTCACATACTTAACCCTAAGCAAACAGGTTTTAGTAATGTTTCCTCTACCTCTCTCTATATGTATGTGTACATACATACATGTACATATGCATTTACACACCCACACACAAACACACACCCACACACAAACACACATACCCCCACCCCCCACCCCCACCCCCCACATACATACACATGTATATGTATATGCCTGGAGCACAACAAAGCAGAAACATCTGTGCTACAATTCTTTATTTACTTGCTGTTAGTAGTACTCAGCCATCACCAAACAGAACAAAATCAAGGAGATAGAGACTGGAATTTCACTCACCAAAAAAGTACTTACAGATTCCTCTGCTAATTCTCAAATTTAACCAGGAAACAAGACCCTGCCATAAGATACTAATGTAAGGAGTGTTGGTACTTTATAAAAGAAACAGGGTTTTTAATGAAATAACTGGAGTCTTGGGCATTTGGACATTCAGGGCAACTAATCTATCATTCTGTTTATCAAGACGAATCAACAGGAACAGGGCTAAGTCACATGACTGCTTCACTCAGTAAGAGAACAAATGTGTTCTGTACAGACTCAATTTTAGCTACTGTAATTGGGATTTATTTCCACAGGAAGTCTTCTTTGCTCAATTCAGAGGGTATGTGATCATTAACTAGCCGAAACAATTTATGGGTAACAGAGGACTTAAAAATCCTGCCACCTGGAAGGTATTATTGAATAATTTGCATTTATATTTTGGTAGTGGTACACCTGCCTGTCTTTAGTCTTTATTTCAGTGAATGAAAGAAATTAAATACAAAATGACTTATGTGTAACTGGTAACACTCAAAGAGACTAATAATTTCCTTTTCCAAAGAATTTAGAATTCCAAATTGCTGACTTTTCATTTTCTAAGAATTCCTTTTCTGATTTGCTGTTTCATACACAAACAATTCATATATTTTTTACTTGAATGTAAATGAAGCTTTTGAATACTCTGAATTAATTAAGTAAATGAGAGATTTAAGCTAGTATGAAATAAACAAACCTGTTAACCATTTAAGGAAAAATAATGAGTACATAAAAAGAAAACACATAAAATTATAAGACATTTTCTAACATATATTTTCTTATTTACAGCAACAACAACAAAAAATGTTGAAACCTACCATGTTCAATATTTCCCTTTGTCAAAGGAGTTGGAAGAGTAGGGATGTATGTGTAAATGCGGAACTTACCGAGACTAGAATTGCCTTTCGCTATAGTAATAGTCCTTTCAAAAGATTCTTTGGATGAATTTTGTAGCATGATACACTCTACATTGGAGGCCAGGGAACTCTGTTCAATTAAGTACTCAGAGCCCTGAAAAAAAATAATGCAAGTCACATGGAAAGGAAAACTAGACTTTGGAGCATGATTTCAACACTACACATCTTTAGTTCTGTTTTTCAGCAAGAAAAACAAGATCAGAGGTTGCCTCAGGGCATGTGTCAGAGGAGCCTCATTCCAAATGATGGATTAGCCAGAACTCTAACTCTCCACTATCCCCTACCTCACTATGATGCACAGACCACAACCTTTAAAATATTACCTTTCCAGTTGAATCAGACAGCACAGGAGAAGTAAGTTCTGTTCTTGATATAACTTCACTTGGTAAATGAGATTCAGTCCAAGCTATTGTGTTTTCACATTCATATTGTTGTTCAGTAGAATTTGCAGGTGTATAATCACTTGTGTTAAAGCCAGAAGGAGGCCCCAAGCTCAAGTCTACTGAAGATGAATTCTCATCCTGTCTTTGGAGGAGATTCTGGGCATATAGTTCTTCCAAAGACATATGCAGATCAATTATTGGATCAGAAGAATTTTCAGTTATATCCTGAAAATGAAAGAAAAAATATTAAAACTCGTGACCAGAATTAAATCAATTTATTTTATAACACTGCTTCATTAGCAACTATTTAGTGAAAAATAAATCACAAGTATTCATTACTTGAAGAGTGTTAACAATGCTGGTGCAATGATACATACCTGTATTAACTAGCTATTGGGGGGCTGAATAGGCTGAGACAGGAGGATAGCAAGTTCAAGGCCAGCATGGGCAATTTAGCAAGACCCTAACTCAAAATAAAAGGGCTGGGGATATAGCTTAGTAATTGCTTGCCAGTGGGTTTAATCCCCAGTATCACACACACAAAAAAAAAATAGATAGATAGATAGATAGATAGATAGATAGATAGAGATATGCATTAACAAATATTTCACTTAGCATAATTTTCTGCCTTTATTTTCATAAATACTTTTGAATAAATTTACTGCAAATCACACATCTCCTATTCTGAATTACCCTTGTACAATATACCATACATAGGATCATTTAGGTAGAATATTATGTTCTATCCATAAATAATATTATTCTGACTTCACATAGAGAAGCAAATAGCTTAGCATCTAATCTCATTTAAAGTGTAGTTCATTTCCAGTGAAGATCTACTTATTGAAATGAATGCATGCAAACTATAACATTAATTGATTTGGATTCATGAACCTCCAAGAGAAAATTATTTTGACTTGAATTTATAGGTATTTATGGAGAAGAAAAGAAAGGCTTGCAACTTGGATTATTATAGGGAAAATTTATATAAATATTCTTCAATATTTAATAGAAGGAATATTAATCTGAGTGGTCATAAAGTGTAGGTTTAATCTAGGCTCTGTTATTAGCACAGAATCGCTCTTGGCTATATATTAGGCAATTTCTATAATTCTCTGAAATTCAAATTCTATAGATCTGTATAAATACATGTAATCTACTTACAGCAGATATGTTGTATCACTTACATGCTTTGGGCAAGCAATTACTTCCTGAATTGCTGCTGAATAAACACATCAGTTTTCCCTTCAATTCTTTGATTTATATTTTTAAAGTACAAAAGCAGCATATGATGAGCACATAACCATGTAAGATTCAAGCTTTATGGGGGCAGGAAAGATGGTGGAATGAGATGTACATCATTACCCTAGGTACATATATAACTGCACATATGGTGTGATGCTCTATCATGTACAACCAGAGAAATGAAAAGTTGTGCTACAACTGTATATGATGAATCAAAATGCATTCTGCTATCATATATACCTAATTATAATAAATAAGTTCACAGAAGAAATAAATTGTTCAACAAATATATGAAAAAGTGTTAAACATCTCTAGTAATTAGAGAAATGTGAATCAAAGCTACTCTAAGATTTCATCTCGCTCCAGTCAGAATGGCAATCATCAAGAATACAGGCAACAATAAATATTGGCAAGGATGTTGGGGAAAAGGTATGCTCATACACTGCTGGTAGGACCGCAAACTGGTACAACCACTATGGAAAGCAGTATGGAGATTCCTCAGAAAACTGGGAATGGAGTTACTATTTGACCCAGTTATCCCACTCCTTGGACTTAAAATCAGCTTACTATAGTGACGCAGCTTCATCAATGTTTATAGCAGCTCAATTCATAATAGCTAGACTATGGAACCAAGGTGTCCCTCAGTAAATGAATGGATAAAGAAAATGTGGTAAATATACTCAATGGAATATTACTCAGCTTTAAAGAAGCATTCGCCAGTAAATGGTTGGAATTGAAAAATATCATGTTAAGAGAAATAAGCCAATCCCACAAAACCAAACACCGAATATTTTGTCTAATATGCAGGTGCTAATTCACAATAAGGTAAGGGGCACTAGGGAAAAATGGTGTTACCTTAGATTAGGTAGAGGGAATTGATGGGAGGGGAGATGAGGGGATAGGGGGATAGAAAAGATAATAGAATGAAACAGACATTATTCCTGTATGTATATATGTGACTACATAACCTATATGAAATTATATCCCTTCTATGTATGATATATCAAAGTACATAAATGCATTCTACAGTCATGTATAACTAATTAAAACAAATAAAATAATAATAATAAAAAAGAAAACTGTTAGGAGATTCACAATTGCTAAACTGTAGAAGCAACCTAGATGCCCACAATAGATGAATGGATAAAGAAACTATGGTATATATAGATAATGGAATATTACTCAGCATTAAAAGAGACTAAAATTATGGCATTTGCAGGTAAAAAAAAAAAAAAAGAAAGAAAAGATTCAAGCCTTACAGACATACACTGTGTATGAACACAAAAGTCTTCCTTCTTACCAGGTACTCTATTACCTTCTCCAGTAAAAATGGCTGGCATCACTTAGTTGTTTGATCATATTTTTATCCATCTGCATAATACATACATACGCGTACACAGATACACACACATTGAAGTTGATATATACATACATTTTTAAAACTTAAACAGAACCATACATTATGTGGCATTTTTAACTTGTTCCTTTTTTATCCCCAGTATATTCACATCTCAATGTAAGAAATGTCCACGTCACTTCAAAAAAGGAAAAAGTCAACTCCAGTGTTTTATGGCTATCAATTATTCCTAAATATGAAAGGCACTGGAGTGTACACTTTGGAGCCAGGCTACCTGAATTCAAATTCTAGCTCCACATCTGGTTAACTGAGTTTGGAAAGTTAAACACTCTATATCCTTTTTGAGGTTGAAATATAAGGTGTCTGACAAAAGTGTATGTGTTAAACAATGTAAGAAACTCTAGAGGTGAAATGATCGGATTATGAGAGCACTACCCTAGTCAGTGCCTCAATCCCTGACAGGGATTAACTGGGTAGTAACAGCAGGTAGGTAAGATGTGGCTGGAGGATGTAGGCCCTCAGGAATATGCCTTTGGAGTTTATATTTTGTCTTGGTGAAGATCTCTCTCCCTTCCCCCTCCCTCCCCCCACTCTCTTTCCTTCCCCCCTCTCTCCCTCCCTCTCTGTCTCCCTCCCTCCCTCTCTCTCTCCCTCTCTCTCTTCCCTTCCTGCTGTGATGTCCTGAGCTACTTTCCTCTACCACACTCTTCCACCATAATGTTCTGCCTCAACATAGGTCCCAAAGAATGAAGTCAGCCATCTGTGGATTAAGACCTCCAAAACTACAGGCCCCCAAATAAACATATTCTCTAAGTGTTGTTATCAGGTCTTTTGGTCACAGAAGTGAAAAAACTGACTAAAACAGCCCTGGTTCCCTGGCCTACTAATAAAGGAAAACAACAGAACCCATATTATCTGTTCTGTTAGAACAGACCATTAATTACCACAAAGTACAGGCCCAACAGAAATTACCCAATAACTATTAGTTTTTACAGTTATTTATTTATATTATGCAACTTTATACACATGTGTGATAATGTGTTTCCTATAAACTACAGAACTGGAGTAGTGGGTCAAATTATATGCACACTTAAAATACTGCTATTTATTGCTAGACTATCTTCCATTTTCTTCCACAAAAAAAGAATATGTGAATATCTATTAATCTTTCCAACTCTAGATCAGTTTGGTAATCCGATCGGTCAGAAATATATTCAGCAGTGTTTTATTATGCATGCCTCTGACAATTAGCAAGATCATATCATTTATACATCTTCTGTGAACATTTTCTTCATGTCCTTCCTCCAGCTTTTTAATCAACAGATTTTCACTTATTCTTGACCTTTTCTGAATATAAAATCTTTGTGATATATACTACAAATATTATCCCAGTTACTTGTCCCCTAAGTTTGTATAGGTAATATTTATGTCATTACAAAGATAAATTCTTTGTGTAATCAAATTTGTTGATATTTTTGCGCTTCTAGGTTTTATATATAGCTTCATAAATATCATAAATATCTCCTTGTCACAATGTAAATGAAATGTTTTCTGGTATTTTCCTTGTATTTATATAATTTATTTTTAGATTTTAACCATCTGCAACTTATTTCAGATATAGTATAAGAGATGGCTCTCTCTTTGATTAGTTTAATAGCTCCAACACAAATTCTTATACTTATCTTCTTCAATACAAGTTATCATTTCTCTATAATTATCAAATATTTCTGACACAAAAGAATCAACAGAGTAGTTCTATCATGCAAGCAATTAATATATTTAGAATCTTCAGGAACAAATAATAGTAAAATAACATTCTCCAATCAGAATCTGAACAATAACCTGTTGGCTCATCCACCCAACTTTATTTTATTTATTCTCATGAAAAATAACAATGTGCTTACTAAAGGACTGGTTAGTTTCAGTATTACTAAATTAATTATAATAATTTTCAGTAAATCATCTCACCCACGCCTCAAAGAAAAAGAACAATTCAAAATCGCTTTTCATCAGAAAAAGAGGTCAAGCCACCCTTGTGAGCTGAGGTTTACTGAAAATCGTGCAGCAGAAATTTCCATGCATTATTCATGAAGGAATTAACACAGACATACAGAAAAGAAATAGCTAATCAACACAGTAGACAACATACGCCTACTTCAGAAACATTTCTGGTTGCTGAACGACCAGAGTTTTATTTTTAAAAGAATTATGGATCTAAAAGAAAAATATTTCTTCCCCCATAAAATGTCCAAAAATAACTCTATGATTTTCCAATGCAACTTGGTATCTAAACTGAACTTTTCTAAAAACCTGTATTAATATATGCCTCTACTTGATACATTCTTATTCTTTTCCTATTATAGGAAAAGACAACATCTTTTATACCTTTGAGAGACTGCAATTTTGTCACTAAGACTTTCATAATTACTCCTACTATTTTGACTAGAGTGATTTATTTATTTTTTATTCAAACCTTTTCTCTAAAACCAAAATAATTAAGAAACAGGATTAACATTCTAAACAAGATGTGAAGGCAACAAATTTTAGCATTGGAGAATGACACTATGTGGAGATCTATGGTAATATACAGTTTTTTTTAAAAAAAAAATTTAATCAAAAGGAATCTACTATTTGTGTTTGGTGTGTGAGGTTCAAAAAAAGATTTCTATCTTGACAGACACCAACTTCAACCTGCACTAGAAATCACAGGACTAATTGGTAAAACCAATATTCTGGAATGAAGAACATGTACCATATCAGTTTTTTCCTGTCCGAAATGAGAGACTGAAAGTATGAATGTACATTACAGGGCAGAGAATGGGGCATGACAAGGAGTACAAACAGAGACTCAATATATAGCTATTAAATCTTTGTTGGTTGTATTTTCAAGTCAAAATAGGAAAAAATATAAAGCATCTTCTGAGAAACCATGTGAAACTTTTAAAGAAGTCTATGAATATTTAAGTTTGGAAAACAATTATTTTTGCATTTTATCATGTCTTTGGAGGTAACAAGAAAAGGGAAATTGAAAGATTAATAAAAAATCAAAACCCATAACAATGAGAAAGGGAAAAAACCAATGGCTTCAACCATGTTGCCTTTAAAATAACATATTTCAATCAACTACCTCTAATGAATTTGAATGCCATGAAATGGGTATATGTAAATCCTTACATGATAATTCATCAATGAAGCAAACACATATTCCTTCCAAAAGACAAAACAGAATAGACCCCTAATGGAAGGCTTCTGTGAACAGGAACAAGTTATGGCTGTGGCCCTTAGGTGCTTAAGCTGCTGCTCAGTCCTCAACTCTGCTCTGAATGGTATGTCCATGCTCTGGTGGTCAGCTCTTTAAACTTCTGGTAGGATACCTGACCAGGGTGGAAAGATCTCTCATCAAGGAGAGGACAGGTAAAATGACATGTCTATTTCCAATCACCATTGAAGATCACAAGATTACCACAAAAATCTGAGGAATGACTGAGATCCTTACACTCTATCCTTCCTTCAAATCAGTATGGAGGTATCTTTGTTTTTCTTAAATATCCATATATACTTTATGGTTATTACAGTATAAAATCATGTATATTTAAACAATCATATATACTAAATGATTTCATTTTATTAAAAAGTAAGCTCACTTTTTTTAAAAGAAAAATAGTGAATTCTAAATTGCATGACAAATCACCATTTTGTTTTTTAAAATAAATTTAGTGCAAAAAAAACAGAAAAAAATGTATTATATAAATTCTTAATCACATAAATTTTTTCTAGTAAATCAAGGTACTAAAAAAGGCATAGAGGAAAAAAAAAAACAGAGTTTCAGAGATTTACAAGAACAGTTCTACTTTCTAAAAACACTGAAAGCACACAGGAGTTTCACAATGTGTTTTAGAACACCCTCATTAATGTCTTCTTTGTTGTTTTGTAGTTTAAATATTTCACTTGTTAGGCCAGCTTGCCAAAATTTGCTTCAACAAAAGAGTAAACTGCTTAGGGAGAAAAAAAGAAAAGAAAAAGAGGAGGCAAACAGACGTCAGTAAGCCAATATGTTGTGCTGCATACAGCCAGCATTCACCCTGTAAAATGTATGCTTCTCAGTATGCAGATTGTGTAATCCCTTTAAGTAACAATTACTAAGTTAAACAATGCAATCTGTCCCACTGGCAAGAAGAAGTATGCTATGCTATGGATTAGGAGATTCCATTAGGAGATGAATTCAGCTTCCAGCCCTGAGGCCAGTAAAGGCTGAACACATTCCAGACAGGAGGCAGCCAGACAGTCTCAGGTGTGCTAGGAGAGGAGCAGCTGCTCCACTCAAGATTATACCTTACAAACCAATTCAAGGAGATTGCCCAGCATCATTTGAAAGGATAACAGGTGCACCTTGAACATAAAAGAAAATGCTTTCAAAATGTTCTGGCCAAAAAAATTACTTGTTAATCAGGAAAGGAGGAAACTGAAAATCCTACTTTCCAACTTATTCATATATGAGATCTCTTTCCACTGAATCCAATTTATAAGTATGGTATAATTCCAGCATAGAAAAATAAACAATATATATCCATAAATGAACTCTTTGCCCAGATTAAATAGATACATTTTTCCATATGTTCTTTAATTACTTTTTTCTTAAAATGATATATTGTAAGTACAACTGTATTTCTATGCTTCATCTTTTTCTCCAAAGGTAACTCCTTTCCTGAAGTTAGGAAGTATCATGCTCACACATTTTTAAGTTTCCAACACACATGTATACACCTACTCATAAAAATATATATTGTTTATGCATCAATTTCCATAAAATAAAAACTTCAACAAATAAACAGATAAGTAATCAAAATAATTGAAGAGATCATTGATAAAAAGTAATAACCAAATGGCCAATATATGGAAAAGTATTCAATCTCACCAATAATGAAGAAAACAAAATGAAAATGTTGTAACACACCATTTTTTCACTCAATATTGAATGGGTTTTAAAATGCTACTTCACGGAAAATTATAGCATATATAACCAAAAAAATCAATAGAACTGGGGCATTTATGTCAATTATTTATTTCTAAAATATAGATGGCACAGATAGTCCAACAGTAACTAGACCCTTCAATTACATATACTGATATATACATACTTTGTCATTCGCTGTGATTTTTATAGTTTTGCATTATTTTATATAAAAATGTAGCATTTAGTCTAAGCCAGCAAATGCTAAATTAACGTAAGAAATATTTTACTATCCAACTTTGCATAAAAGTTTTAAAATCATTAAAAAATATAAAGTCAATCTTGTAATTTTTCCAAAATAGACACTGCTAGTAATTTTGGCAACAGTGAGATCTATCCTTTTCAGCAATTCTATAGTCTTTTCTTCCTATCTCCAAGCCTCTCAATAAAATTAGTAAAAAGTAACACTAAGAAGTAACCATAGACACCACTAAAAACACAATCTAATAAATGTATTTCATTAAATTTTCTTTCTGATATGAAAATCCTAAAAGTTCTGAACATTTATGTCTACCACTGTCCTAGAAACACTAGAATTAAATAGCCCTTTATAGTCTGAAAGCTATACAATTAACACTAGCTAAATTAAAGTGTAGTTTAATCTGATAGGTAATCCATGACTAAAGAAAGAAAATGTTTCTAATATGCTACTCCTACAAGTCCCCATCATCCCTGACCTCTGGAAAGGTATTCACAAAGCTTTCTCAAAAATAAATGACATTTTCTCAGTACCTTGGGAGGAGATGACGGCAGAGAGGAACCATAGTTCAGACCATCACTGCAAGCACTGCCATGAAGAGATAAAACAGAGGCTTGGGTAGAGTAGACACTGTCATTATCAGGAGAGTACTGAGACTGAAATGTGGATTCATCTACCAATTCAGCACCATGTGTGTCCACCTAGGAATCAAACAATACCATCAGTTGGGAATTCTGTTCTAGCACTGAGGTCTCCACTTGAAACACAAAGGCATACTGGCATCTTTCTTCAGTCTATCCTGCTCCACATTCTCTTCAGCATGTCAGAAACTGACTATATAGTACTTTACCTAATGCAGCACAAGAGCAAATTGCTCACCTGTAGCAAAGGGTGCTGGAACCCACAGCTGCTTCATTTCCTCAATAATAGAGCCAAAGGTTACAATTAATAAAGGATCTGGATCAATTCTAAGTTTAAATAGCTCCATTAGTCATGGAAAGTGTTTACTTTTTTCCAGTTCACCTGACAAACTCTTATCATTTTATAATAAAATGAATGAGGACATGTCTTCTATTCAACTAAAATAAACTGCTGTTCAAAAAGGTAGCCATGCAATTATCTATTTGTAAACTCACCATAAACATATATTTTAAATTATCTTTAGTTAAACTTTAAATACATTCAAGTCATAGAAACCAGAGAACATCTGAGATGTCATGCTAAAATTATACAACAAATAAGGGGTCTAATAATGATATGATTAGTGAAGCTTTAAGTTATGAACTTCTATTAGAAAGCTCACATAGAATGAGATAGAAAATTTCATCACACATTATCTAAAAATCCTATTACAATCTTCTATAGTAGACCTAAGAACTGACCCTTTTCTTGTATTTCCAGCATTTTCTGGTTATCTCAATGGCAAAATCCCATTTTTCTATATATTTTTTATTCCAACTTACATGTTTAATATAATTTAGAAGCTTTATCACAATATAGTAGGCTGTACTCTTATAAAAAGCTCTTAAAAATACATTGGGGCCATTTCAAAGTGATCCTCTTGAAATATAATTTCATAGGCCTGAAAAATTATTTTAAATACACGTTCAAATGCATTAACAAATCACCATGTGGAGCTTTAGCCATTACAAATGTACATTATGTACAATAATCTAGATAGTAAATAATTAGTATTTACTATCTAGATAGTATTAGCTAAGCCTCGTGCCATACATTACAGTACATAAACATTTGTTTTAAGTGACATTAAGGAAAGAATACCTCAATCTAAGTTGTATACCTATCACTGATGCCTTACAGTCCCAGAGAGATCATTACAATTTGCTTAATTACTGTACAGATAAAACACTAGAGCCCAAAGAAGATGAAAAACCAGTCCAAGATTATATAACTGGTTAGAGAGAAGATCCAGGACACCTACTTCTATCATAAAGACTAGTTAAGCCTCCATAAAACTGGAACTAATATACTTTGTGATTGGGATTCTTTGAATGAAGTTTAAGGAAGATATGTAAACTCTAGAAACAATGTTATTTCTTAAGATACTTCAGGGATAATGATATGTTTGTGTCCTATTGCATATAATTTTTTATTTTTATTTATTTATTTGTTTTGTTTGTTTTTGCTGTGGCTGAGTACTATTTAATACCTAAGTACTCACACAGTTCACTGCATACTAAATGATACTGTGCACAGAGAGCAAGGCCAAAGTTCCCTAGCGTGTTAAATATCAAAATGTGAGATTATTGTATTGACTATAATACTGCAAACTTTCCAAACAGGTGTTTCAAGAGCTTGCAATTTCAAAATATTAACAAAAACAATTATCTTCTTTAAAATTAAGACCACAAATGGCACTAGGTCAAAGATGTGCACAGTGCACATAAAATACTGAACAAGGAAAATAGTGAGACTTTTCAGAATATTTTATAAGATAAAATAAGACATACAAGCATTTGAAAAGAGAACTTAATAAGTTGTAGCCACTAACCAGAGCCAAGTCAGCCCTGAAGAGGGCTTTGTCAGCCAGCCCTTGCTCCTCGCAGGAATGTGGCGGGTACAGAAAAGAATCCTCCTTAGCAGAAACATAACCTTCTTCAGGTGAAAGCTGCAGGAGAATGATATTTGAAAACCAGTTCATGAGAAAGACAGAGAAAAATGAAGGGGGACAAAATGGAGGAAGGCAGACAAACATGAAGGTAAGTGAGGAGAAAAGGAAAATATGGGAGTTTTTAAAATAAACATATGACTTCAACATTGAATAAGTATGAAATATAGCAAATATCTCTATTAAACATTTTATTTGAAAATATAATTGAAAATATTTTTATATGAACATCATCTGTTAGATCAGAATCCATTTCTATTCTTTTTCTCATTTTTTCTTATTAAAGATTACCAAAATCAATAATTTTTACATTATAATAGTCCTCTAGTAATTCTTATCTGCCTATTATTATGGCCAAATACTGAAAAGCAAACTTTAGCTATTAAGACTTTTAAAAAGATTAGAGAATAATAATACAACAATAAAAAGAGGGATCAACTTCTGTCATCTCCTCAGAATATTAATTTAAGGAATGTAATTTACTTGACAGGGAAGGTGGCTGAATCCTACAGTGAAGCCTTTTAATTTAGCATAGCTTTTAAGACAAAATAAAGCAAAACTCTTCAAGTGCAGTCTGCTTAAATTGCAGTCTTGAGTTCTATTACCTTCTAACTTGATCACACAGACTGAAAAACCTAAAAATTTTATAACAATTTCTGAAAAATGGGCCAAAATATTTAGATAAGGCCTTGTCTGCATAACTGTGTCAGCAACACATGCAAAAGTATTACAGGGAAAAACTTCCTTTTTTTCCTCTTTACCAAAACATGAATTTAATATTTACTAAGACTCACTTTGGGAAACATATATTCATATATTACAGAGCATATTGAAACCAAAATATCAAATACTGTATTGAAAGAAATTTACTTTAGAGCTAGCTAGAAACAGAAGACTCTGCTTCTAAATAACTGGTACAGTTTCTTTTAAGGGCAAAAAAAACAAAAACAAAAAAAAACCATGTATTAAGTCGTGTTCACCATTTCTCTTTGTAAAACAGAAAGACCAGAGCCTATTTATGGTCCACCTTTGATAAATATATAGAGCCTCATGATGTGCATTTTCATTTTCACATTCCCTTTAGTACAGATCTTTTCCCATTATTTCTATAATCCTGATTTGATTTTTAGGTTGGATTACCAGTCTTCATTCTTTTCTCCCTCCCTCTTTTCTATTATTTTTTCATAAATGCATTTCATAGATTACCAAAATTCCTTGTGGAGTAAAACTGGAACATAGAATAATTCTAATTAACACTTAAAAATAATAACAAAGCTTATTATTTGAACAAATTCTCTCACAAAAATCAACAACTCTTTATTGATATTCATGCATATATATGTTGCACTTTCTTTCATTTAAACTATATTTATACCATGGAAAAAGCTCACAAATAATGATCATGTCTCTTAATATTTAATTGCAGTACAATGGTAAATGCCATGTTACAATTACTACACCTGATAAAACATGCTGCTTTATACAATATAAATTGTTTTTTAAATATTGCAGTATAGAATATGGGAACTATTCCCTCCCAGAAGAAAGAGCCACAAACTGATGAACTCACTTTGTATTGTTCAATAAATTATGAACAAATTATACAACAAATAGTGTTGAAGTCAACATAATTAAGAAACTTAAGCCACTCTATCAGAGATCCTACTTTACTCCCCTATGATTAAAGGTTCTACTATTAGTTGTTAATGCTTTTAATTCTTTTTAAAGAGAGAGAGAGAATTTTTAATATATATATATATACATATATATATATATATATATATATATATATATTTAGTTTTCAGTGGACACAACATCTTTATTTTTTATTTTTATGTGGTGCTGAGTATCGAACCCAGCACTCCGCACATGCCAGGCAAGCACGCTACCCACTTGAGCCACATCCCCAGTCCAAATGCTATTGATTTTTAGTACCCCCGCTACATTGGTATTTTAATATTTGAATCCATATTTCTTTGAAATATATGATTCTGCTTCATCATGACCTTAATAGCTAATAATAAAAAACGTCAAAAGATAATCACAAAGTAATGTTATAAATACATTTCTGAATATCCTGGCTCTTTTCTTTCGTTATTTTCTGAAAAATATAACTCAAATTAAAATTTTATGTTCATGGAGCCAAAGACCATATTGCTGAAAAGTACCAAAAGTGATGATTCAGTCATGAGAACACCCAAGGCTAAAAGAAAACCTGTGAGCCACTTTTCTTGTACATATAAAAATAAATCAATAGAATCCAAATTCTTACAGGTAAAGGCTTGGTCACTCCTATTCTGACAGTTCCTGAGGGTGCCCCCTTCAGTGCTTCCACAGCTTCTTCAAGACTGCTGTTTTCCAAGTTAATGTCATTGACAAACATGAGGCGATCTCCAGGAAGAAGTCGTCCATCCTTTTCAGCAATGCCACCAGGGACTAAGGAACGAATTACAATCACAGTGCTTGCTGGATCAACTGGATCCTGACAGAATGGGAAAGTAAAGAGAACTCAGTCCATTTTTAGAATGAAGAAAATTTTTATAGGTTGTCCCTCTGATTAGCAATGGATGGGTTATTGTTTCAAGTGTATTTTAAAAACTCATACAAAAAAATTTCTGATGAATTATCTGGGCAAAGGTTATCTCTGTTTCATTTTAGCGAATCCATAAAGAGTTCATCTAAAACAAAAGCATTCTCATTTGCTAGTGTTCCCAAAAACACCTCTTAAATTGTACAGATAACTTAAAAATTATAATTTTAATTTTAGATTAAGTTGTCAAATTTTATAACTATCACTGGAGGCTAGATGTCAGGTATATTCATTATTAACAATAGCATTTGTTAAATAATATGTCACTGGATGGAAATGTCTGAATGTTTGACCTGTCCCTTTGAAATGAAAACATACAGAAAGAAGCATTTGAGGATGCAGTGTTTTCATTTACACAGCAACCTCCACATTAGAACAAGGCTCCAGAATCAGGCTCTATGAACACATCTCCCTAGTCATCTGAGACAGCTTTCTGTTCAGTGTTAATAAGAAGCAACAGCTGTGCTCTGTCAGACAGGCTTTAGCAATTTCCTCATTTATGCAGTATAGAGCACAAAGCAGGCTGCACTTGACCAATTTAAACATATTCATAAATTTAGTAAAATGACTGGAATATCAGAATTCATAATATATCCAATTATACATTTATCATTTGCAGCAAAGAAATATCTAATACTTAATGACTAACCATTAAATTATGAGCCATCAAGACCATGGAAATAACAATAATAGATTCCTCAAATTATTAAAATAAAACCCTGGGCTGGGGTTGTAGCTGAGTGGTAGAGTACTTACCAGGCACCGCAAAAAATAAATGAATAAAATAAAGGCATTGTGTCTCTCTACAACTAAAAAATATTTTTTAAAAATACTATATGCTTCTATGATTTTTTTTTTGGTATCAGGGATTGAATCCAGGGTGCTTTACCCCTGAGCCCCATCTCCAGCCTATTTTATACTTTTATTTAGAGACAGGGTCTTGATAAGTTGCTCAGAGCCTTACTGAATACTGGGATTACAGATGTGTGCCACTGTGCCCAGCTCTCAATAATATTTCTAAAATGTGTTCTACATGTTCCTCAAATTCCTAAGAGCTGAATTATAAAATAGCTGAATAAATTTGACATTAAAAGAAACCCTTATGATAATCAATGAGTCATATTAATTATTATTTTGAAAGACTCACTACAAACAAGAAAATGTCTTTGATGACTATTTTCTTCTTCTCTGCTATCAACAATATGCTTTCAGTACATAGCACTGTTTTTTAAAACTTGTTAATGGTAGAATACATTTACCTGATAATCTAAAATGCTAAAACCAAGGCCTCTGCTCCCTTTCTCCAGCTCTATGTGCTGAATGCCAGCCTCCCACATGGCCAAAGGTACTTGAACCTCCTCTGGAGTAGGACCCACATCAGTCATGGCCACCACTGGCTCCTCTGTCTCCGATGACCCAATAAGCTCACCTAGATCTACATGGGGCTGAACAACAGACCAGACATCTCTTATTTCACAAGCTAGAGTAGAAGACACACATATGAACACCTGCAAAGAAAAGGGAGATTCCCAACATCTATCCAGAACAAAACATTTTCAAATAAGCACCAGCTTATCAAGAAACCTTTAAGATTTAAGGTACAAAATGTCAAAAGCTGTTAAGAGGAAGAAATACTTAATTACAATAGGCATTAAAAACATAAGATTAGTTGATCTCCTATAAAATTATAGAATTTTTTTGTGGGTGATTTTCACTTCTTTTCAATATACAAATCACGTCTATAGCCAGAAAAAAAAAAAAAGGAGAGCTATTTTGTTATTAAATCAAAATAATTTCTCATGATAAATAAGAATAATTCAAGATAAGAGATATATGTAGAAGTTTTACACTCAATGCAAATAAGGATTAAAACACTTTGACTTGAGTACTTGAGTATTTCATTAATAAAACTAGTGTAAACAGTGGCCAAACATTAGATTTAAAATCAGATTTGCTTGGGCTTAAAGCATGACTCTATGATTTGCTATCTGTGTTACCTTGAGTAATATTCTTAGCATGGGCTTCAGAGTTACTCATTTCATAGAAATTTGTGAGTATTAAATGAGGTAACATTTATAAAGTATCTGACACAGAAGCTGGAATTCAAAATTTTTCAATAAAAATAAAGTAAATAAAGGTTACTCCAACTTGGTCCTTCTACAGGAACATATCAAACATAAGAAATATGTGTTCATCAGGATGAATACTATCTTTGTTTTAAGCAATTATCACATGACCTAGGACCATGGATGCAAATCTTTCTACCTGTCTTATGATGATAATCCCATTTACACCACACATACACAGACACACACAAAGAGCATGGATATATATAGTGCTAGCCTTTGAGGAGTAGATAATTTAGAATTATATTTCTTATTCTAACATTAATCATTTATGTGAATATGGAAACTAGGCACTTATTCTTCAAAGTTTCCAAAATTATTCCATTATACTATTTCAGTATAATGTAAATCAAATCCTAATATTACCTTAAATGAAATTTGTCTAGGTTATAAATTAGGCAAAATCAGTTTAGAAATGTATTGTGCATCTTCCAAAAAGCTCATTAGTTTCATTGCTTGACATTTTGATCTAAATAGAAAAGAATAAGCAGATAAGAAAATAGGAGTTTCTAAACACCACAGAGAATTACTGGCATGTGTTAGGAGCCCAAATTCCTCATACTTTAAAAATAGAGTGTGCAAGTATGTAAGACCTATATATGCTAAAATTATCTATCCATCCACACTTCAGCTATTCACTAAGCAGTAATTGTATGCCAGGCAGACTTGGGTAGGTTATATACAAGTATCTTTTTCCATATGTGTACTATATACACACACTATTTACATAAATTTGAGTTTTCTCTTCTGCAAATGGGGACAATATGAAACTCTATTTCACAAAAATATTGAAAGTAAATTATACAAATATATATATATAGTGTGCAATAAAACCTAATATTATTGCTTTCCTTACATCTTCAGAGAAAGAAAACAGAGGTTCCAAAAGATGAAGTGACTTGCTCAAGGTCACACAGCTAGTAAATATCAAAAAATCTGGTTTAAACCCAAGCTTGACTTCAAGGTCAATCCTATAAAACACAGATTATGTAAGGAAACCAAATGCCAAAAAAGGGGAGGGGGGGTTAAAAAATCATGAACAGCATTTAGTCTTTCCATTTATATTTTCATATTAGTCTCACTTTACAAATTTTCTACCTTTTCTGTTAGTTCAATATCACTTAGGTCCAGGCTATCCAATTCTGACTGGGAGGTGGGTGGCACAGTACGACGACAGCACACCATTGTCACTTCTATAGGCAATTCTTTTAAAATATTGACCACATCTTGGTGATTCTCCCCAAGCAAAGTTATACCATTCACCTGTAGAAAAGATACATTCTTTAAGTAAGGAAAACATTTCAGAATGCAAATATTATTCTGAAAATGTTTGTTTATTATACAAATATACATTTTTGTATGGTGATGATAATGTGATTCTGCTGGATCCAGAACTGTAGTTAGACCTATGGAAGTACTACCTAAAACAATTTAGAGTTTTGCTGTAATTGGATCTTCTAAAGAATTCACAGGAAAACCATTAACTTTTATCCATATTTGATCTGCCAGTGTGGAAATCTAGAAAAGGATAGTCAATGAAAATATTCCCAAGGATGAAAGAAAAAAAAGAAGTTACAAAAACCTGACATTTTAAGTAAAGAAAAAAATAGAATATTGCATATATTGTATATTTTTAAAATGGGGGGAAAGAACCTCTTCCAATTTTCTTATATTTACCTTAAAATATATGGCTGCCTGCACATAAACAATACCAGCAGGTACCTAATAAAGGATGATGAGAATGGAGTGGATGGGGTCAGGATGGAGATTTTTCTAATGTTTATCTTTTTATTCTGTATTGAAACATGTGAATGTATTACCTATTCTAAAAAACAGATATATATTTTAAAAGTTTCAAAGAAATTTTTTATAGTTCTCTGTACCTGAAACAAAACAACAACCACACAGAACTAGATCTGAAACTCAACACAGACACCGATATAAAATTTCTGCTTTGCGTAGATTTTTATGTGCAGATCTCTCTCAAGAAACCTCTGAGAGGAAATTTAAAATAAGAACTTACAGATCACATTAAGCCTCCTTCAAGGCTTTTTGGAATCTTATTTGAAGAAGAGAAAGAAAAGTATAGCTCCTTACTTCCAATAGCTCATCACCACTGAAGAGTTTCCCACTGTGTCCAACAGGACCTTCTGGTAGAACTGATCGGATAAAATGATGTCCCACTGTTGCTTCCAGGCTTATTCCCAACCCACTATTCTCACTAAACTTGCTCACGTGGGCCACCTAAAAGAATAAAAATTATTACAATTCTAACATTCCTTTCTTTTTCTACTCATGCATACATTTTGTATTCACCCCAAAATGGTCAACTTTCTCATAAAAGCTTCAAAAACCTACTTGTAAAGCTTCAAAGCTTTGCCTTTGAAAGAGTTCTGATGTCTACTGGCTTCATGAACCAACAGACCAAAAGGAAGCAGCCAGCTCTTTACTGGCCATAGATGCTGACAGCAGATGGAAAGCAGTCAAAATTACAATAGGACCTGAGCTCATATAACAATAAAGAAAACACACTCTCTGTACTTGCTACTGTGTGCCAGGGACAAAGCTGATCCGAAACCCCCCTACCCCCCAACCCCTGCTGCCCCCATATCATAGATTGTCTCATATGCTTCTTTTAAATAGTTCAATTTCTCTCCTTGTTTCCCAAGTTAGGAAAATAAGGTTCAGAAAGGTTACCTTGGCCAGAATTGCACAAGGAGAATAGAACTTTAAACTAAAGTGATCTCACCCTCGAACCTCACTCTTGATTTTATGCAATACTGACAGACAACAGTGATCTTTAATAAATGAAATGAAGTTGAAAACAAGGGAATGAAATTCTAATTTCTTGCAGTTATACCAAATAATGGAGAATGTTAGGAACTTACTCATTTTCACAATAATCATTAAAATCAGAAGGGATGCTAGACATGATCTACTTTAACCCTTTTATTTTGCAGCTAAGGAAATTGAGGAATAAAAAACTGAAAAAAAACTCATTATCAAATAGTTCTTTCTATGTCTTAATTTTTTTTCCTAAGAAAGAAAATCAAATTTATTTATTTTCTAATTTTTTATTGTTTCTTAAATTTGTTGTAACTAGTAATATATGACCATTGAATGGATTTTGATCCATCATACATAAATGGAGTATAACTTCTCATTTTCTAGTTGTACATAATGTAGGGTTAAATAGGTCATGTAAATATGCATGCACATAGGGCAACAATGTTTCACTCATTATACTATCATTCCTAACCTATACCTCCTCCCCTTCCTTCATTCCCCCTGTCTAGTCCAAAGTACCTCTATTCTTAATGGTAATTGGTGAAAGTTCGACATCAGAAGTAAAGTTATATGACTTTGAAATAAAATGCTAGATGAAAATCTCACCCCTGAAAATCCAATTTATGCATTAATTCCTCTCAGAACACTTCCAAGTCTCTACTGATAATGCCTACAAGGACTTTTCTCTGCTATACCACTCCTACATTTTCATGTATGCTGCATAACTAGATAGCAAACAAAGTGAAGTCAGATCTTTTTCCTTTACCGTTGTCTCACCACAGCCCAAAGAACTTAGTTCTTTCTTATTTATTTTAAACAAACTGGTTTTATTTACATGTAATTCTTAAGATATCATCTCTAAACTTCCATTTAATCACATTTCTAAATGATACAAGGTATCCAGGTGTCATACTGTATATATAAAGTTCCAGGTATCATAGTGGACTGAAATCAAGGACTGTGCAGTTTGGGTAGGTAGGAAAGGGGGCCATAAAAATATGTGTGAACCATACCAGATTAGTTATAAAAGTAACTCTTTCTGTATATAATGATAGCACCATCTGGGTGTCTTTCATAATCTCTTGAACACTTAAGCATCAATAAGGCAGGTGATATTAGTTCTATTTTATACAGGAAGATACAGGCTTAGATGGTTTACCTCTCAAAGTTCTGGAGCTAATAGGAAATTTAATTAAGTAAATATAGGTTTCTTTATCACAGCACACTTTTGCCTTTGCCAGATTACTGGAAGTCCCACCAAAACAGTATATGCACAGAGGACAGTTAGAAGTTCAGTGTTGTTTCTGAGTCTGTGATGAAATGTCTAATCAAGGGTAGGTGTCCTTTAACATTCAGTTACCACCTAAAGAACTGCAGGCTCAGTTATGCATGCCAGTTAAGTTAACCCGTCCTGTAAAAGGAAATGCTAAATTAACTGCTGTTGAGCTGGACCTAATTGTATTTTTCCTTGACTCAATTATAAAAGGTAGCAACAGCTGTAATAGTTCAATTCTTATTTGTTAATTATTCTGAATGTTAAAAGATTATGAAAAATTAAGAGCACTACTTAGAAACAAAGTGCCTCCTCAGTAGAAACAATGTGTCCCTAAGTAGTGGTTACTAACATTACATATTATCATTTGCCTTTTATCTCCTCCAATTCAAAGGTATATAAACATTTTGGCAATATGAAAAATTCTAACCAACTTTGTATTTTACTTTTCCTTTTCAAATCCTTGAAATTTTCTGGTATGCATGTAAAATTAATGATTTGTGTCAAATTTCTTAGACCTCCCTTTAGAATAGCACATCGAGATAGGTTGGCTAGATTATACAAAGTGCTTCATGTAAATAAATATAAAATATTTACCATGGCATAAGTGGTAGGGAAAAGTAGACAGATTAACCTCTTCAAGGAAAGTAAATACACAAAAATAAAAAAGAAGGTGAGGGAAAGAGTTCTTCCCCAATTCTCTACAGACATGATAAATCTGTCTTATTTTTAAGAGGATTCTTTCTATAAACCACAGCTGTAAGAATCAGAAAACCCCTCCTTCGTGTATAATCTACACCATTATCAGAAGTTTTAAAATACTGATGATATACAAATTCTAAAACTTCCATGCCATTTATTTCCACTCCTCATTTACTATATAACTTTCTCCAAGTTGAAATTTTCAGTACCCAAATTAGGACACTTAGGTCTTCTAAAAAAGCCTTGAATATTTACTGCTTCTCTTGAACTTCTTGTGAAGATGATGTCTATTACTGCTATGAACTTCCTGTTCAAATACATTTACAAGTTAGGATATTAGGGAGGGTAAACTAACCTACCACTATTTCATAGTTAATTCCCATAATCCTCTGCCACTTTGTCAGCAGGGTAGCTTCTTGTTGCATATCTTTTGTTTCCTGTGCCTCAGCTGATATCAACTGATACCCTGAAATAGTCAAAGCAATTAAGTTAGTGACACATTACAAAATTCTCTACATATTAACATTCTGTTCCAGAGACAGTGATTAGAACATGTTGTACCATGTCAGACATTTTTTTTTCAACTTAATTGGTTCTTTTCAGTCATACATAACACATAGTATTCATCTTTTTAGTTATACATAACATTAGTATTCACTTTGACATAATTATAAAAGCATGAAATATAATTTGTTATAATTCAGTCCCCATTACTTCCCTTTTCTTCCCTCCTCTTTCCCCTGTTCCTTTCCCACTACTTTACTGATCTTTCTGCCATTTACTTACAGCTTTCTTTAAAATTAGTGTCTAGTGGTTATACATGATGGTGAGATTCACTGTGGTATGTTCATGTATGTACATAGGACAGTTAGATCTGATTCATTCTACTGTCTTTCCCGAGCCCTCTTCCCTGCCCTTCATTCCCTTCATTTACTCCACTGATCTTTCTTCTCTTTTAATAATTCCCCATCCTGCCTTATTTTGGGTGACCTTTCACATATTAGAGAAAACACTTGATCTTTGAATTTTGGGGACTGGCTTTTTTCGCTTAGCATGATGGTTTCCAGTCCCATTCATTTACTGGCAAATGCCAAAAGTCATTCTTCTATATGGCTGAATAATATTCTATTGAATATACCTCATTTTCCTTATACATTCATTTGTTGAAGGAAACCTAGGTTGTTCTATCAATTGGCTATTTTAAATTGTGCTGCTATAAATGTTGATGTCACTGTGTCACTGAGGTATGCTGATTTTAAATCTTTTGGATATATATCATGGAATGGATAGCTAGGTCATATTATGATCCCATTCCTAGATTTTTGAGGAATCTCCATACTGCTTTCCAGAGTGGTTGCACTAATTCACAGTCCCACCAACAATGTATGAGTGGACTCTTTTCTCCACATTCTCACCAACATTTATTGTTATTTGTCAGACTCTTTACCCAGTAGATGAGTAATCTCACTTCTATACTTTACAGATTTAATTAAAAGTTCCATTGCATATTCAACACTATAATCTTTTAAAAGATATCTTTTAAATCCTAACCATAACATTATCCAATTTAAATATTTAAAAGAATGAGGACTCTGGGTTGCTTTGGGATTCTCCTCTTCATCCTTTGGTGACTCTACAGTAAAAAGCCATGTCTGTCACCTCTATGTTAATTTTTCTTTTTTGTTTTCATTTGGTTCTACAGTGGGAAAAGGAGTATGCTATTACTTAGCCAAGCAAAAACAAGTTAATAAATAATATATACAATTCAATGTATAGTGAGAAAATATAAATTAAAAAAAACATGACAAAATGAGATTGCACATTAAAATAAAAGACTAGCATGGAATCTCACTAACTGGCAAAAATAATTCAATTAAAAAGAAAATAGAAAAATATATAAATAAAAAGAGGGAAGAAGCCCACCAAAAAAGTTACCCAAACAAATCTATTTAAGATGATTAACTTAAAAAAAAAAAAACTTGTGAAAAAGAACTTTACAATCACATTTCAGAGACACCTCTGTATCATCATGGTTCTGACTCTTTACCCAGTAGATGAGTACTCTCAGGTTGTCTTTTAAAACTCTCTACTAGGCAGTACTCTATCTATCCCTTTCAGCATTCAAATCTAAAATTTAAAGAGTGTTTCAAGGGCTGGGCTGAGGCTCAGTGGCAGAGTGCTTGCCTATGATGAGTGCAGCCCTGGATCTGATCCTTAGTACCACATATAAACAAACAAAATAAAGCCATGTTTTTCACCTACAACCATAAAAAAGTTTTTTAAAAAGTGTTTCAAAATTCAAATTTCTCATTAGATGTCTCTTGTGCAATAGGAATTCAGGAGCTCTCACTCTAGGCATATTCTGCAGATTTGTTACAACTTGGGTTAAAACGCCAATTCTGCTTTCACCTTGAGAAACTAGATCCAATAGTTCATAATTTTAAAAATATCTGGAGGGCTGGAGGTGCACGTAGGTCAGTGGCACAGCACTTGCCTAGCATAATGTGGCCCTGGGTTCATCCCCAGAACTGTAAAATCAAAGATTGGAGATTACTCCCCCCAAATAAGTGTTTTCTCTTAAAAATTAAATTAATTTCTGAGACAGATAACTATGCAGGAGTGAACACAATTTACAGGGAACGTTTAAGCCAAATTCTGGGAAAGAAAGATCAGTCCTACCTCCTCCAACCCACTTTCTCCTATTCCCTTGTGTTTACATAGCTGGGCAGGAACTTAAGCAAAGTGGGATTATGAATGGTCAATGTGGGTATTCAAGAATTCACTGATTAAAATAATCTCAGATTCATATTCATTCAATTAACCTATGGTGATAAAATTCTCTGTTCACACTTTTAAATAATCCCAAGACTAGTTTTCATGGATTTTTTAAAAACCATAAAGTCTGGTTCTCTGTTTTTACTGAGAAGCCACTTACATATCCAGACTTACACAATGTATAAAATTTCAGTGAAAGAGGCAATAATGACTCCTCATACTCCAAATAAAAAACAGTATTAGAGTAGACGCATGAGAATCACTTAAACATTTCTGCTTTGTTTACTTTGTTTAAAAAAGACTCTGGGACTCCTGATTTTAAGTCTACAGCCTCCCCAACTCATTTCCCACAAATATATGCACTTCTCATGAGCTGGCTTCCTCAGGGTAAATATATATATGGTTCTGAATCTTCAAGGTAACCCCACACCATCCTCACTATCTCCAGTTTCAGACTCTGAACATTTGTATCCTTTCCTTAGTCTTGATACTCACTTTAGTCTTAATAATATCTTTACCTATTAGCGTTAAAATGGCAGAATACATTTAAAAATAGTGTGAATCTTGCATATCTCCCTTACAGGATATTTTGATAAGCACAAATATTGCTTTAAAATGATAAAAACAAGTTAAAATTTTCAGCAGAAAAGAAATGCAATAAAGAAAGAGCAGATATGTTAAAGAACTAAAAAGCCTCTGTATTATGTCTTAATAAAGGGTGGAATTCTAGGACTTTATTCAGTCCTAGAATAGTCCCAAAGCACCTAAAGCAATCTGTCAGGTAAAGGAAGCAACATACTGGCATAATCACAACTTAAAACAATGGGCTCTGAAAACATTTTAAATAACTCGATAGATCCTAGACTTACAGTGAAAGAATTCTCAGAAGGTTTAATTTTTCTATATAATTACTTTCCAAGATCAACTTCCCAATGATAAAACTTAGAACTCTTAAAAAATTAAGAAGTAAAAATGGCCTCCCAAAATTGAACAGCTTCATTCTAAGAATTTATAAAGACTCTCCTTTGTTTATTTTTAAATATTTCCTAATTGTATTATTGTTTGCTGAGGTACTGATATCTCAGCTATATAGAAGCAAAGGAATTAAATTAAAACTATGTTATATAACCAATTGAGTCCAAGAGGCTTCTGGTAAAACAAACAAAAATGTAGCAGAAAGAACAGACTGATTCATCAAGAAGACAATCAGCTATAAATGAACTGTTTTAATATATGAGAGCAATTAATCATATCTATAAATAGAGATTTACAAGCGTAAGGTTTTTCAACATTTTTATTAACGCACAGTATATCCTTATTGCTTATCTCACTTGTAAAAAAATCACTTCTCTTAAAACACAATGAGAATGTCTTAGCCATGTTTACCTTCTTCTTCAATTGGTAATATGCTGGTGTTTCTCCTCAAAGATAAAGAATCTTCATCTTTTTCATAATTTTCTTAAAGATAAAAATATTTTATTAGTAATATCTGTATTAGTAATATCTGAATAACTAAGCACTTGAATTTTTCTAAAGGCACTATATTTATTTGAATCCCTAGATGAGAGTCTGTTTTATAAAGATAAACTCCACAGTAACCATATATTAAAAGGAAAGTCCCCCTGTAAATAGACAAACATTCTCCTGCAGCCCCATCGCCTAGTGCTGCAGTTAGGTAACACAACAGCATTTTCCAACCAACAACCTGACACCTACCAATAAACCCTTCCTGGGGATTTTAGCAATGAGAGATACTAATATACAAACAGCTCATGAATGACATTTCTAAATGTGATTCCTTCAAGGAATGGCTGGGGATTTAGTCATTATGGCGCATATAAATAATCCTGGTAGATCTGCATTCCTCCCCCTAAAGAGAAAACATTATGCTGACATCCAAAAGTAAGGAAGGTACAGAAAGGCAGATGCCTGTGCATTTCCAATTGAGAAGTGGTAGCTAAATGAATACAACATAGAAATACACTTTATGAAGTTTATGCATAGGATGGTGGTTCCACTTATTTCCAACTTTACTAAACCTTTTCTTATCCTTGGTTTTAATAAATGGTTGAGGAAAAGAAAAAGAAATCATTTTAGAATTAGAAAAATATTTGAATAATATAAATGTGTAACTGAAAAGCAGATTAACCTAGCATTACCTTTACTAACACTGGCATTAAAGAGAGACATGTCAGAATCTTTCATGATTTCCTCCCTTGATATGAGCTCCCCTTCCTGCTTGGTTCCTCTCCTCATTAGGGTCAGGCGCACAGTCTGACCTGTGTGTCGCAACACCTCTACTGCTTGTTGATTGGTGAAACCCTGGAGGTTGGTGCCATCTACCTGTGATAACAAGACGTTGAAAAAAGATGAAGATTTGTACTGCTAACTCATAAAATGTATATTTACTGCTTATTACTGTGAAAAGAAAGGGGAATGAGTAGTTCTGTAACTGGGTATGGACAATGACATTCCAACACTTGCTTGAGGACCAGTATTAACTTAGGTATGCTAGAATCCTTGAGGAGGGATAATCTAGATTCTGGGGTCACACTTCTAGAAATTATGAGCCAAGAGTTTTAGGATGGGCCCAGGTTACATGCCTTTTTAAATGTTACCACCGAAACATAGTGCTATGTGCACAGTAAATATTCATCCCACATGGGAGGACAGAACCAACAGATCACATATCAAAGATTTATCTGGAAAGCAAATACCTTTGGGGAAATATAAATAAATATAGACTAAAACATCATACTTTTAAACATTCATAAAATCACAATGAAAACTGGAAAAGTAGACCAAACAAATGAAATGTTGAAATTCAAAGTCACTGATAATTCTTTTGAATTGCACAATGGCTGTAAATGTCATGCTTTTCTAAGCACAATGATAGCAGCCACATTCGGCATTCAAATGTTTACTAAATGACTGAGAATTATAACATCTAGATCAGAGTTCTCCAAGACAAGTAGTATCCTTACTACAGAGATTTCTGGAAGAATATAATAAAACTTCTAAAACTTTAAAAACTCATTGGTATACACATACACACATATATAATGTCTATATCAATTATATATAAATATATATATAAACATATAACAACATATATTTGAAGATACAGAAGGGTAGAAAGAAACTGAGGAAGAAATAGATAAATATTTTTATTAATGGGCTATTTAAACCAAAACTAGAGACTGTTGATCTAGATAACCATCTCACACTAAGGGGTCCTTAAATCTTCTATAATTTTTCTGGGTAAGACAGTAACTTGAACACAGGTATATGTTAGTCTTCTTTTTCCATGCCTACCCTGATGATTCCTGTTTTTACATAAACTAACAAATTATAGTAATGGAGAAATCCTGCAACAAAACTGGAAACAAATAATGAAAGTAAGTTCTTACACCAGTAACTTGAAGAAACTTCTACTAGCAATGGTCTGGCCGTGATCAAATCAAAGGCAGGCCAGCTAAATTTCTGTAAATGCAGGAACAGCTTGTTGTTCTTGTTGATACATGTGGATCCCAAACAGTGACTCTGAGTAATGTAAGCCTAGAGGCCACAGCAACCTGGGAGCATGCAGCAGCACAGAATTACAGACATGTAATAAAAATCACCTTTGTGATGCATATGTGTATGGATACATGGATGTGTGCACATGTGTGTATACACACACACACACACACAAAAAAAAATTCTAACTGACTCCTGTTTACCCTAAGAAACACAGAAAACAAATCTGTTCTCATGCAGAGCCAAAGTTCTCCACTGTGATGTTCACAAGCACTGGTTTCCTTTCTTTATTTTGTTTATCTACAAACAAATCAGGTGAAATTATTTATGGTAAATTTAAACTTATACCTTAATTCTGGCTCTCTCAATTTCCAAACTATCTGAAAACCCACACAATCTCCAGTAAAATCCACCTCAGTTCCCATTTGTACAAGCACAGCTTCTTTCAGTCATGACCAAAAGTCACAGGATATGAAATAAAATGCCACAGTTCAATAGAAGATATGCACACTGTGCTATCAACCCAAGTATCTTCCTGTGAAGCTGTTATTCAAGTGAGCAAGAAAAAAAGATATTTCCTGAAATTTCCTTTCAAAATGATTCAAATTTCATTGTATACGTGAAAATAGAAACTATAGTTACAAAGAAAAATATGTATCTATCAAAAAAAAAGAAAAGAAAGAAAACTTACAATGAAGGCAGCTTACAAGATTTTAAGTACTGTAAAAACAAAGCCAGGAAATGGAAGACAGGATCATGCAATTTTCCCGTATCTCAGAGGAATAGAATAAATAGATAAAATGATTGGTAAAATAAAACTGGTGACACACAGGCTGATCTGAGAAACCCAATATACTTTGAAAGGCATTATGAGAAAAGAAATGAGAAAAAAAATAATCAAAGAAATGACTACAGGGAAGGGAAACTTACCCAAGTCTACAACTCAAAAGAGACACATGAAAAATGAAAAAAAAAAAAAAGAAAGAAAGAAAGAAAAAAAAATCTAACACCTGGACATAGTCTGGTAAAGCTCTTCTATTTCAAAGATCAAAAGGAAAAAAAAATCAGCCTCTAGGCCCTACAGAAAGTAGACTATCTAAAGAACTTCAGTAAAGAAATTAGGAACCAAGAGTTTAACCATGTTCAAATTTTATATTCTTTGAACTTCAAAAACAAAAAAAAATTAATCTAAAACAAATGAACTTTTTTTTTTCAGTACTGGGCATTGAACCTAGGGGTGCTATACCCTTGAGCTTACACACACCACTTTTTATTTTTTAGTTTAAGAAAGAGTCTAAGTTGTCCACCTAGACTTAAACTTAAGATCTTCTTGCCTTAGCCTCCTGATACCTAGGATTACAGTATGTGTCACTTTGCCTAGCTGCTACTTATTTTTATTACTCTTGTGGTAATGAAGAAAAAATTTTTTAAAAAACTTTCAAAAATCTTAATAGTGAGATTCTAAAAAACTTCTTAAAATACACAAAATTTAGGCTACATATTTTTAATTTGCAATAGATTGTTATTGCTCAATTCTTACATTAAGAAAAATTGAATGTGTATGATTTTGTAAGAGTAATATGCCTCAAATTGTGTGTACAAAAACATTATTTCCCATGTTTTTCAAAACTTAGTAACTTGGATTTTATAATACATTCCTTACCCAAATATTAGAGAACACTACTAGAAGAGAAAAAATTGCTATAATGGCTTTTGACTTCAGTTCAAATTTCTCTAGTATCTTCATCTGTAATATGGAACTAAGGATATCTATATTTTCAGAATTGTAATACACAGCACGTTGTACTGGGAAGATAGTCAAGGGCTGGCATTATTATTAACAGAATGAAGATATGAGTAATAAACATACAAACCCCAATATTCCCTGGGAGCAGTTTCTGTTCAATATATTCACATCCATCTACATATGAGTCACACTTACCACAAACTCAGGAGCCCAGTTCAGACTCAATGACACCAAAGAAATGTGAAGTGAAATTAGGTACAATGGCAGCAAACTGCCTCTACACTCTCTCATGACGAAAAGATAACATCTCCTAATGTGCAGTGCAGATACCGCCATTTACAGGAACAATTTAGAGAAGAAACACTAGTTGGCACAGCTCACAGACCTAGGCTCCTTAGCATATTCAATGTAGACTGTCAAGCCCTCCTCCAACAGAAGCATTACCTATAGAGAACCTGAAACTCTTAACAAAGTCACAGAATATCAAAAGCAACACTTGAAACTTTTTCTAATTTATATATTTGTTTAATATTTTATCAGTCATAATTAATCAGTCATAATGGTTTTGGCATGGATCACTGAATATCAAAATATAATAATAATTTAATTTAATAATAATGAGTTAATTATTATCATTAATATTAATTATAATAAAATAATTTTATCTAACAAGCTTGTCAAATTTGAAAACACAATAGACCTTTTTTCAAATAATCATTACATAGAATACCAACAAATGAAAAGGGGGAGGAAGGAATAGAATATTTACTCTATTTCCTGCCCTGTAATGCCTATAGTGAAACCATACACATATACAAAACAGTCTGTGAAACAAGAATTTTAGAATAAAGTACTTTTAAGTTATAAAACAATGCTCCCTAAAAATAGTAAGAAATAGTTTCTCAGTCTTCTCACAATATGACAATTACAAAATAAAAATAGACTATAGCTCTAATAGCTGCTGTCACAACAAAAATAGAACAAATAGACAAAAAAAGACTACAGTCGTGAAAATGCAACTACCATATACCAAAAGTCCACAAGATGGTGATGTTTTGCACAAAATTAATGCATGATCTATAGTATTACGTAAGTGTCCGAGGATTTAGAGATGTTTCTAACTTTGAAGTAAGAAAATGTTGCTAGAAGTTGTCAAGTAAAACTCAAAATACTGATGACAAGGAAAGCAAGTGATTTCACTGAATATAAGAAAACACTCCAAACAAAAAGGCATTTCTATTTTTTGAGTCAACAATTTCCTTTATCATTGACTTTGCCTAAGAGGAATTATATTTGAGATTTCACTTACATAATGATGAAGATAATGATAGGTTTAGAGAGAAAGTACTGTGAGATTCTTTCCAAGATGTAACCATTTTAAGCCCTCAAATAATTATCGCCTTAATCAATTAAAATGTACTTCTGTGCTAAGTATAACATCAGATATTTTGAATGAAGGACTTACCTATGTGCTAAGTATGACATCAGATATTTTAAATAAAGATCTTATTTGGTTCTCCGAAACAATCATACAAGTGACATTTCCTTATTCTAATTTTGTAGGTAAAGAAATTTTCAAAAAGATTGCTAAGAAGATACCAGAAGTAATATAGTCAGAAACTACATCAGAACTTGGTGCAAGTTACAGGAAACATAGCTCAGTAAAAAAAGTATCAGGCAATATAGTCAAGATCTCCCACCAACCCTGGACTTCTTGTATTTTGGCAGCACTTCATCCTAGAAAGGTAGAATGTCTAAGTACCTACCATTTGAGTCTCTCTCCCTGAAACCTATGGTTCTTTGGGTTTCCCATCTTGATACATTTGATATCATTTGTTGCAATGTATCTTAGAGGTGATTACAGTAAAACTTAACTACTGGTGGTGCATTTATACCACAGAGTGGTCATTTTTACCAAGCTTCAAATCCAAACATCTACAACACTATTTCACATGAATTATTCAGTGAATAGTGTTAAAAATATAATTTGCAGAAATGCAAATCATGGCAAATACAAAATGGTTTGCCAAAGATTTTAACTTGTTAATGAATGAAAGAACTAGTAAGATGTTGTAATTGGTTGAAGGAGCATTTAAGAAGCAAGAGTGTTTATACGCAATTTAACACAGTATTAAGAGACCATTGCTGAGTTTGATATAAATTGTTTGATATCCAACAAACCATAAATCATTGAGATAATATATTCTTTGAACAGAAGTTTGTATCACTACTGGACTAGTCTGTGACTTTTAAATTATTATTAACTTTTAAAATTCACAAATAAAAATTATACACACACATATATAATGTTTATGATGTACAAGCAATTTGCTAAATGGTTAAACAGAATTATGATAAGATCCATCAATTTCACTCCTTAGTATATATCCAAGAGAAATGAAAATATACATAAAGCAGAACATTGTACATGAATGTTCACAGCAGCATTATCCATAAAAGCCAAAAAGTGAAAACAACCCACATATTTATCCAATGATGAATGGGTAAATGTGGTGTACCCATACAGTGACTATTAGTCAGCAATAAAAGAATATAAAGAACAGACACATGCTACAACACAGACAAACCCTGAAAATACTCTAAGTGAAAGAAATCAATCACAAAGGACCAAATCTTATATGATTCTATTTACATGAAATGCCTCAGAATAGGCAAATCTACAAAGGCAGAAAGTAGGCTGGTGGCTGCCTAGGGCAGAGAAGATGAGGAAATTAGGGAGCAACTGCTAAAGGGTAGGGGGCTTCTCTTTAGAGAAATGAAAATGTTCTAAAATTGATTGTGATAATGAACTTCTAGCAATGTGAATATATGAAGAGCTACTGAAACATACACTTTAAATGGGTGAGGTTTTGGCATATAAATGATATTTCAATAAAACTGGTTTTTAAGAAACTTTGTGATGAACTATTATAGAAACAGAGGAAAAAGTAAATTAGTCAAATTTCAACTTTTAATTCAGCATCATATATGAATTTAGACTCTATATCTATTTATTCTCTCTTCCTCCCTTTCCCTTAAAATAAAAACACAAGGGGACTAATTTGTATTGCATGGTAAAATGGAGATGCACTAGGGAAACCAGTTCTAGCAGGTAGCCAGACAAGGTGGTGAACTCAACTTGATTTCAAGACTTGAACAAGTGTGTAGGTAGGAGCTTCATAGCATTATACCCAAGAAGACTCAGGGAGATGCAATTAGACTCAAAAGGCAGAGATAAAAGAACCCTATATCTTTTTTTTTTTATTGTGGTAAAAAATATATAAAATTCACCATCTTAACCAGTTTATTCACATTGTTCTATGAAAGATCTATAGGACGTTTTCATCTTGCAAAATGAATCTCTATTCCACTGAGCAACTTCACATTCGCCCTTTCCCCAGCCTCTGGTAACACCATTCTACCTTCCATTTTTCTAAGTCTGATTAGTTCACACACCTCAAATAAGTGGAATCATACAGTAGTTGTCTTTCTTGACTGGCATATTTTACTTTGCATAATATCCTTGAGAATTATCCATGTTATAGAAAGTGACAGGATTTCCTTCTTTTAAAAGACTGACTAGCATTCCACTGTATGAATATACCAAAATTTGCTTATCCACTCATTGATCCTTACACATCTGGTTGTTTCCATGGACCATGCATGATGTTGCTATACTCAAGGACTCTTATCTATGCCCCACCTCATTATCATTAAGATTCCTGAGGAACAAAAAACAAAATAGGCTTAATTAAGCATACACAAATACCTATGAAGATAAATCAGCATTACACAAGATGTCTTCCAAAGAAAGAAAGATTCCACAATTATAAAATTTGGAACCATCAGGGTAAAAGAGGTAAACAAGTTTCTCTACTACAGGACTTCTCAGAGTCTTCAGTTTTTCAAGGTACATAGTGAATCTCTAAAAGACTATATAATATATATTTTTCACTAAACTTATTCAATTAGGAAGCAACTGGTATGGGACTAATGAATTTGTGTTTCAGGAAGCAGTTTGTGAAGTCTAGTATTTACTGAACACTGATTTGAAGGTTAGATTCTTCTATACACTGCCTCAAACAGACATATGTACTGATGTCATTACAATAGCATGATGAACTGATCTAATTAAAAGTGGCTGAATCTGTTTGTTATTCTTTTATATTAGAGCTAAAAGGTGCTCTCTGCCCATGGAGTCAAAGCAGGAGCAATATTCTGCTGATACAACAAATGCCACACATCCCAAATTGAGACTCAAATACACTAATGATCATTACATCTGGTCTTTACCTTTGTAGTATCTCCAAGGAGAACTGGAATAGTAACAGTAAGAAATTCATTACAACCAGAAATCAAAAATATCAGAAATTATTTAAGAAAAAAACCTTTGCTTTAGAATTGAGATCAGTAGAGCTTCTATCCAATGCTATTTTGTTTCCACAAAATAATAAAAAGGATAACTGTAATGAGAGCCTCAAGCCACTAAAGAAAAGATTAAATCAGTACAGTTAACTGTTTTCTCAGAACTGAGTATAAACTAGGAAAATGCATTCTCGACCATGAAATTTGACAAAGCTATTATTAAATGTGTAACTTACTGCTATAATCTGGTCTCCAATTTGAATTCTTCCATCATGTTCAACAGCACTGCTTTTTGTGATGCTTTTTACAAAGATTCCCGAAGGTTCTAAGATTAGAAATAGGTTATTCTCACTATTTACAAACACATTAAAAGAATATCCATCCTACATTCTCCAAATAAAAAGCTTTAATTGTGAATAAATACCTATCAAAAAGCCACACAAACAAAATCACTAGTAGAAAGGATAAGGTAATTGTTTTGTTTGTTTAGAGTTACCTACACTAAATTATTTCTAAGGATGTTTTCAAATAATTTACCAAACTATTTGAAAACATATAATGTTGATTAAATATTTCATATGACACAGATACTAGAGGCAATTCCCAAGTTAAAAAAAAATTTAAGATTTAAAATTACCTAATTTTTTATCTCCAATATAACCAGCAATGGTAATTCCTAATCCTTGGACATTTTTAGTGAGTTCCACATCAAATGTCTCACTTTCTTCATTTTTCTGAGTAGAAGCATCAACCTGAAATAAAATCGATAAATAAATATACAAAAAATAAACATATAGAAAAAGAAAAAAACAAGTTCACAAAGCCATAGCTTTAACTGAGGAATAATATGACATAACAATGTGTCAGAGAACTTTGTTAGAGAGTTACAGTAGAGATTATTACTTCAATCATGCAACATTGATGAACTGAGAATCACATTTTTACTCAGAAAGGAATGTTAAGATTGAACCTCCCCTTATTGGAGGGATACACTGTTTGTACACTTTTTTTTTCATTAAATGGGTTTTTCTTAACAAATTCTGTCTTCACAGATGACACATCTTCATTTCTGAAGGAGTCTAAATGTGGCTCAGTTGAAAAAATTCAAGTCTTGAATTCAGATCAACAAATACAAACCTAGCTTTGCCACTAGATTTTCTAAACATTAGTTTGCACAACTGTCTAACAGGATAAGAGTAACAACAACCAGTCCAGCTACTATTTATTAAGCAGTTTCCATGTAAGAGGCAACTGACATCTTAATTTCTTATTCCTTAAAATGATATGTTTTATATTCCTTTTATATCGTGAGGTGGTACAATTACTGAATCAATTGTTCTATGAGAAAACAGGCACATAAACTATTTTAAAGACAAAGTGTTAACAACCTAGTAGAAGTAGAATTCAAATCCTAACACTTGTTGTGGAGCTGCTACTCTTAAATGACACACTGTGTGGACCACTTCTAGTAGAACAGACCAGCCACAGCGCCTACATGTTAGCTGCTATTATTATCCGAAGTTTGTAGTTGATTTTAATAACACAAATATGGATAAATCTATCCTTCAGCTTTATTATAAATAGGCTAATGGCTCATTTTGAAAACCAATAAAATGCATGAAGGAAGTCTTTTAAACTGCCCTTTGGTAAATTCAGACTTTACTATGAAACTCCTTTGTTCATTAGGATTCCTCCTTTCTGGAATGACAGCTGGAAGTAGGTTCCTCAGATGTAAGCTTTTAATAACATGCAGAGTTGTTATTAATTATACAGTAGACTGAAGGCTCAGTTTTCCCACATTAAGCATTAGTGGACTGGTATAATTTGTCATCAATAAGTTATTGGGACTATGCACTAGTGTGACATAAGCAGATTCTACAGAGAACCCTAAGAAGAACACGACAAAATCAAGGCTCTGAGTTCTAATCAACATGCAGTTTGGGGCTAGCTGATAATATTTCTGATTTTCTTCAAACAAACTGAATATATCCCACTATTGGTCCACCTAAATGAGATAAATTTTTCAGTAAAGTTTGATTTATTTTTTCATTGCACATAATTATCTGTGCAAACTTAGCAAAAGTTTAAAGTTTATATAATTACAAGAAAATGACAGGATGAAATCTGCTTCAATTGAAACAAATGTGTTTTCTATTTTTAATAAGACTTATGCGAGTGCTATTTTAGAGGGTGGCAATTTGACTATCGAATGGTTTTAAAAGGGGCACAAGCTTCAGAAATGATGATATGCACAGAATAGATATTTTTCTAAGCGTTCAATTACATCAAGTAGTTTTCGGTATTGCATTCATTTATATATTGCTGAATAAAATGTTTTGTTTACCACAAAAGAATGCCATTTAAATGCTTTCATAAACAAGCTTTCTTTCTTACTTCTCTTTGCAAAAAATAGCAACCAAACTCAATCCTAAAAACAACAGAATCATGGAAATTTCAAGTGTTCTAATAAAGTTTTAAAGGGCTTATGAAAGAGATTCGGATTTGAAAAAAAGAATTTATAGCAAATGCATAGAAACAACTTTAATAGATAAAAACATATTATTACTGTGAGAAAGGAATATAGGATTTGCATTTGTTATAAATCTTATTTAGAAATTGGTATAATTCTTTCCTTAAATATTTAAGACATTTATGGATAAATTTATTTTGTTGATATTTTAGTCACTATAGTCTTACAATCTGTAAACCAGTTATGATAGTTAAAACCATTCAATCATTTTGAAATTTTCCAGATTTTTTTCATATCAAGTTAAGCGTAAAGATAGAATGTTACACCTATGAGTAAAGTTTCTGTTACAACACTTGTCCAAAAACTTATAAACTTAAGGTATAACATTTATCTAAAAGCTTATGTAACTGGGTCAAGAACAATGACCACTCATTTCATTACATATCTGATCAACAGTTCTAAGGCATTCCTTAAAACAATAAAACTGAAGGTTTTGAAAAGCTTTATTCATTGCCAACAATCCTGCTCTCACTCTCAGCCTCCACACTTCCAAAACAAAACATAAATACTAAAAAGAAAGCTGTCAAATGCGAATGAAAGAACTGACCCATTTTATAGAAAGTCTTCTAATTAAGAGAAAAATATAATTCAACATTTTAGGTATTAATAGTACATAATTCTTTATATTTGATCCATACTTCAAAACATTACCCTCATAAATTGGCTACTTAGAGAAAAAAAAGTAAAATAGTCACCCAGCATTTTTAGGCAAGTATTTTTCATCTCTTTTAAACATTACTCCTGATTAATAAATATTATTAATGCTGAAGCATCCCTACAAAATTCCCTAAGTTTTGTTACATTTTTTAACACCAATAATAAACATAAGTAAGTCTAGTTTCTAAAACAATATCACTGTCATCTCAAGTGCTATTTTCTCTGACATTCACATTAACTGTTATTATCTACTTACCCGCATCTCTGGCGCAGATGTTGGGGAAGAGGAGAGGGTGATGCCCAAAGAGGTGGGTGCTGTAGTTTCTTCTATGGCACCTCTTGCAATCATCAACTTAACTCTATTTCCACACTGCCTAAGGACTTGTGCTACTTGCTCACTGCTCATTCCTGCCAAATCTGTATCACCAATCTTTAGAATGTGGTCTCCACTGCATAATCGCCCATGCTGAACCAATAAAAGGGGGTGGGGGGTTGCGTCATTAGGGTATTGTTATTGTAACTCCATCAGAGAAATCCTAAATGAGGGAGAGGGAATAATACTAAAAGAAGATAGCAATGAGATGACAACACAGCAATCATGAGACACTGAACATGTAACATGAACTCTCTTCTGAACTATTCCAGCCCACTCAGTGTGATATAAGTAAATAAAATTCACAAATACTCCCTAAATTGATGGGCTAATATGAACTTGTCATTCTGATTTTTACCACTAAATGCAAGCAGAAAAAAAAAAAAAAGGTTTTTTGTGATTTTTGTTTTTTCAGGGACAGAAACAAGAAAAGTCCTAAGCAAAGATTAAGTATGAAGTTACTAGGCAAATATAGTACATATTATTCAAAATATGTTGTGAACCACAATACAGTATTATATAAATCTCATAATTTTGTTCCTTGGTATTTCAATGATAAACATCAAAAGAATATACTTTCATATGAAATTCTGGTGAAATAAAAGACAGATAGACAAGAGGCATGAGAATTAGTCTTATAAGCCTCCATGTAATTGCTATTTTCTGCAATAACAGAACTTTCACACTGTCCAACACAGCAGTTACAAGCAACCCTTGGCTGTGGAACACTTGGAATATGGTAATCCAATTGGGGAACAGATTTATAATCTCTTTTAATTTTAATGAATTTAAATTTGAATTTAATAATACTGGAAAGGATAGCTCTATATTGAAGATAAAGCATAGATAAGATAGATCTCTCAAAGCTTATCAACTTTATTGGATACTGCTATATGCTAATGTCTTAAAGGAAGAAAATGTCATATATTATTATATTATTGTTAAATCCCTAATGAAAAGGCTTCCATTAATAGGCCTTTCATTTATGAATACAATCAATATTTTATAAACCTGGCTTTCTAGTTTACATTCAAACAAACATGTAACAACAAGAACTTTATAAATAAAATGTTATAATCAATATAGTAGTTCACCATAACCTTGGTTTAAGTTTGTGGTTCTAAGGAATATTAAAATCATTGTCTGTATCTGAAACTCAAGTTCATCATCCCTTTTCAAAAGTATTTTTCCCCAAAGAGTATTTCTCCTTTGACAAGATGAAGTCATAATTTGGGGTAAACATCAATGAAGACCTATTGGAGTAGCTTACCTGATCAGCTACTCCTCCAGGCAGAATGGTTTTGACTATCACACCCGTTGCTTTTCCTCCGATGATGCCGAATCCCAAACCAGACCCATCATTCACCAGTTCAATTGTTTCTACATGCTGCCAATGAACCTAAAGGCAAAGCTCCTATGAGAATTTCTAAAATTTTATGAAACACTAAAATTTTACATCACAATGGATATTTTGTGATCACTTTATTAGTATTAAATAACTTATTTCAGATAATACAATGAGCTCTAAGAATACCCTTTAATTCAGTATACTTCTCTTTCAAAAGACATTTATTGCTATTTTTTTATTAATATATCATTAAAATGTTTACATTTCCTCCCAATTAATGATGAGCACTGATTTTTCAATATCTCCTGTAGAATGTCTTTAAAAAAAAAAAAAGAAAAAGATCAAGGAAAAAAACTGTCATGTGTTAAGAATGTCTTCCTTTGAATCTTGCCTACAGGAAAAATTCCAAATTACATGACTTCTTAAAGTCACAGACAGCTAACTGTAACAATATAATTGTATAATTTATAAAGCAAAATCAAGATTGTATCTGTCTACTGAAAAGTCAATTTTGTAAAAGAACCATACTTCTTTTTGTTGTTGTTTTTGAGGAATAATGATGTCAAAAAACTACACAAAGAAAAGGCTGTTTTAGAAGCTGCAAACAATCATAATTAAATGACAAATATTCCAGGCTGAGAAGATATGAATTTTTTTAAAAAAATTCAAGAAATACAAAGAACCTATAGGAATTAGAAACCTGTACACAACTAAAAAGAATTAGAAAAGTACGTTCTGTTCTGTTTGAAAATCTCAGGCACTCACAGGATTTGAGTGAGCTGAAATTGTACTGGCTGCAGATGGAGAACGGGAAACTCTGGGGCTGACAAGCTGAGGTAAGGAGCCTCTGGCTATAACTAGCTGGACAGCATCTTTGGCCTTCTGCAGGATGCTGATAGCCTGCTGATGTGTGATGGTCTGATCAAGTGCCTGTCCATTGATAGCAAGGATCTGATCAGTTTCCTTCAGTCTTCCATCTCTGTCAGAGGTGAAAAACAAGGTGATATTTGACAGCTCTCAAGAAAGAAAAATCTTCTTTGCATATATGTTCAGGTTACTTTAAATCCTATTTTTAAATTTCCACACTTTTTAAGCTTTTTCCTGCAGTTCCATTTTTAAAGTATATGCTTGAAGAATGTTCTAATATGTGGATGCTAACCCACAACAAGGGAAGGGAAGATTAGAAGTTCATTGAATTAGACAAAGGGGAATGAAGGGAAGGGAGGGAAGATGAAAACAGGAAAGACAGTAGAATGAATCAGACAGAATTTTCCTATGTTCATATATGAATACACAACCAGTGTAACTCCACATCATGTAAAACCACAAGAATGGGCACTTAGACTCCATGTACGTATGATATGCCAAAATACACTCTAGCATCATATATATCTACAAAGAACAAATAAATAAGAATTATATGGGCGGCTTTTACCTCTTGTGCATCCACAAACAGAGGTCTATTTTAGATGGAGAAATTACTGACACAGAAAAATAATAAAATACTTCTTAAGAAAAAATAAAGTATATGCTTAGCTCCAGGTGGTCAACTTTCTTAAGATAATTCTACTGCCATTCCTAAGCAACTCCTCCATTTAAAAGGCCTCTTTTTTTTTGTTTTTTTGTTTTTTGAACTGCCCATTCAACCTACTCATTGTATTTTAGATGGTCCCATATTTTAAAAATCAAAGTATAGATATATATATTGCTTTATTTCTCTTAGCATATTTATAAAACACAGCTCAAATTATCATCAGTCATTTCTAGTACAGCAATTCTTAAATCTAATCAAAAAGCCCAGTTAATAACAATGAAAATATTCTACTCAAATTTTTATTTCCTTACTAAAATAAATTCATACTATTTAAAAGCTACAGTTACTTCAAAGGACTTGCTTTGTTCAACTCTCGTTGTTGTTTGTTTTTCTTTGTTTTTGCTTTTCTAAATTTCCCCATACTGATCAAATTTTCTGATTGTCATATCAAAAACAAGAGAAGATGCTGGGACAATCTCACCTGTGAGCCACACTGCCCTCTTGTATCTCTTGCACAAATATCCCCAGCTCACCCCTGTTTTCACTCCTGAGTCCCACAACACTAAACCCAAGGCCTCCACATGGAGGTTTGAGGAGCTCAAAAACTTCCACATGGCGACCCTGATTAGAAAACAAAGCAAGAAATGAAATTAAAAGCCAGTTAATGCAGTTGACTTCCATCTGATGACTAAGTGGTATTACTTTTCAGACAAAACTGAAAAATTATTTTCTAAGATAATTTTGAGCACTTATCTCCTAGAACAGGATATTTTCTTTTTCTCAAGGAATATTTCTGGAGTATAACATAGAATACTCAAAATTTGATAATTAAAAAACAAAATATACAATAGAAAAATCTCAAAACCATCCAAACTCTTCTCATACCAAAATTTTTACATGTTATAAATGCCACTACATTTTTTAAGTAACCCAGGACTTGATCGCACTCTTAAGATGCATTCTAAGATACCTAACAGGAAGAAATGCTCTCACCTGGGCCATGTTTTTGATCAACTGATCAAATTCATCACATGCAGACTTCCCATTGATATGTGGAGTACCAGGTCCAGTGAGGGCTTCCAGATTCCCATTATTCGAAGTTAATAAAAGTGATTCATTTTGTACGGTAGGAATTGTAGCAGAACTGAGGTGAGGAATGTGGGCATATTCAACACTTGAAGTTGTTGAAGTTGCAATGCTAACCTGAGAGTAATACAGAATTTATTAACATTAATACACCTTAAAAGGAATTATGAAATTATCAAGGATAGCTTTGGGAACTCCCCAAACTTGCAACTGGTGTCAGAATGTGGGTGTTTTGGAGGTACTTTCACCTTGAACCTGGGAACTAGACATTAATACCTATCAGTTAGTGTCAAAAGTGATGGACAGAGATGGAGGTTTAAAGGACTGTGTCTTCACACTTTGCAGTATATCTAACTCCTGGTACAAGACATTAAATAATAAAGTAACATTTTGAAAGATTATAATTGTGTGTGTAAGGTCTAAATTAAAGCTAACTGACACAGCAATGCAAACAGTCAATACTAATGTTATACTTCCACAGGGTGTCATGAATGTGACTTTTTATCTGTAACTGTGTATCCGAAAGATTACATCAATGATGTGTTTGGATCACCCTTACCTCATCTCATAGCACTATGTCTATTACTATCTTCAGCTGTACTGATGTCACTTTCCAAACTGCCAAGCTGCTCACTCTACCAGCCACGTTTATCCTTCCCCAAATATCCATAGGCTTTCTCTTTTATTTCATTCAATTGTGCTCAACCTTACCTTGGAGAATCCCTCTCTGTCAACTCTATTCAACATAGCATCTACCATCTTGCTTCCTGAGCTCACCCTAATTATTTTAATAGCACTTAAAAACCCCTAACATATATATACCCTGTTGTTCATAGAGCATCCATCCTAATCAATAGAAGAAGATTGGAATGTAAAATTTTCCAGTGGAAGAATCTTATTATGTTATTTTCTCCTTGGTCCTCATTTCCCATTGTTCTTCAATATACATTTACAGAATAAACTATCTATTTTTTAAGAACCTATGTTGATCTAATCTCCCAAACAATTTTTCAAGTTGTCATATTTTCCTTTTACTGATGACAAAATTACACAGTCACATCATTAATAAGTAATTTGTTGGGCTGGGAATGTGGCTCAAGTGGTAGCGCGCTCCCCTGGCATGCATGTAGCCTGGGTTCTATCCTCAGCACCACATACAAACAAAGATGTTCTGTCTGCCAAAAAACTAAAATATTAAAATATTCATTCTCTCTCTCTCTCTCTCTCTCTCTCTCTCTCTCTCTCTCTCCCTCTCTCTCTCTCAAAAAATATAATAAAATAAGTAATTTGTGACCTACATTGTTTTCATCAAGTTGTTCTTATTTTCTTTGTAGTATGGATAAAGCATGTACTCATAAAATACAATTTCTGGAAATATGATAAGAGATTCATAGAATCCATCAATTAAAGCTATCAAAATATTTCACAAAGTCAAAATCCATCCATAGGATGGTGTTACCTATCTTAAAAAATTAAAACAGAAAATTCATTGTTACTAAAGTTACCAATAATTCATCTATTGTGTTAGCTATCTATAATCATGGATGAAAAAGAGATCAATGTATTGAGAGGAAGCTTTTGGGAATCCTATCAAATGATAATTTTAAAACTACAGTAGGCATAATCAATTATTTTTTTCAAAAACAAGCTTTTTATGCCAAGATTGATTTTTTTTTTTTTTAATCCTGAGCCATGGAAACTTCAGCAAAGTCTGTCAGCAGAAGACACCCCACTCAGGTTGAAGCAGATGGCATAACGAAATTTGTGACAGGCTGAAGATCCCACACACCAGGTCCTAACGCCTATGGTATGCTTACAAAGGAAAAAAACATTTGGACTTTTGTTACAGTAAGCTGGAATGGACAAATCACATTCTGAGAACAGATACTCTATTAGAAAAAATCCACTTAAGTAGAAGTGCTGATATTACAAGAGACCAGGTGTGGAGGCATCCCAAGAATAAACTTAGTAGGAGCAGAATAGTAAAAATAAGGATCATGAGACAGTATTTAATATCAAGTGTCTTTTCCTAATTTGTTAAAGGCCTGACAAATATAGATAACTATTCCTGCTGCTCTTAAGGTTTCATGTAAACGTAAAAGCAATGGTTACATAATTAAAATGGATCACATATATAAAAGCTTTCGCTTAAACCATCAAAAGTCATGGTTTTAAATTTGAAAATTTATATTCATAGGAAAAGGCACAAGATACCTTTTGATTTTGTTGTCACTGTGTACTAAAGTGGTTTTCTAAACTACAATCTCTTTGAACAAGAATGAATTACATTTGGCTTGATAGGTCTGTTCAGAGCACACCCACTATAAATATTTAATAAAAAGAAATTAAGGACTGGGGATGTGGTTCAAGTGGTAGCGTGCTTGCCTGGCATGTGCGGGGCAATGGGCTCGATCCTCAGCACCACATAAAAATAAAAATAAAGATGTTGTGTGTCCACCGAAAACTAAAAATAAATATTAAAAAATTCTCTCTCTTTCTCTCTAAAAAAAAGAAAAGAAAGAAAGAAATTGACTCTCATCCTTGGTTTATAGAATACAAAATAACCAAAAGAAAACACAAATATCTGGTGATTTTTTTTATAGAGATAAACATCTGTATAATTTATGAAAGTTGCTAGCAAATGAGCAAGGGTCACCAAATAATTATCTGTTTTGTTTAACTCTGGCTGAGTACTGGAACCTAGAAAGAGCTTGTATGTACTTGGAAAAAAACATATTAATTTATAGTCTTTAACTAGTATATTACCTAAAACCAAACTTAAGTGAAAATTATGTAAATTATTCAATTAAAAAGTCTGAATTTTTTTTCTTTGCGAAAGGGTAGAATATAAGAACCTTTCAGAATTTAAAGTATAGTAGAAACACGATTACAAGATAAAGCTCAAACCATTAACTAATTCCTCCAAGAGATTAGATAAAGCAGAAATCATATCAAATTACAAGCATATACATATATATACACACACACACAAATATATACATATATATATATCAAACTTGATACTTATATTTTAACTTAGCAAATACATGTCTAATCTGTCATAAATATCCTTAAGTTTGGATGAGATCTTCTTAAATATGAGTCCAAAAACAAGAAGTCTCTATCTTCTTAATACATAAATCACACTCCCAGAATACAGTATTATTCTAATTTCAGTTTATTTAAGATGGAGAAACACCCTAAAAGAAGCACATGAGTGCCTTGTAAACCCAACTACTTGGGAGGCTAAGGGAGGAGGATCACTAATTCATTGGCAGCTAGGGAACTTAGTGAGACCCAGTCACATAATAAAAAATAAAAAGGGTTGGAGTTGTAGAAAAGTGGTTGAAAAACCCTGGGTTCTATCCCAAAACCATAAAAAAAAGAAAAAAAAAGGAAAGAAACTCTTGAAAATACTTGAAAAACACTTTGAAAAGAATACTCCAAACTGGGCATGGTGGCAAACGCCTATAATCCCAGCAGCTTAAGAGGCTAAGATGGGAAAATTCAAAGCCAGCTTCAGCAAAAGCAAGGTGCTTCTCAGTGAGACCCTGTCTCTAAATAAAATACAAAATAGAGCTGGGGATGTGGCTTAGTGGTTGAGTGCACCTGAGTTCAATCCTCAGTACCAATTAAAAATAAAAAATTCTAGATTTTTATGAGATCTATCCTTAGTGTTTTACAGTTTAATTAAACAAAACAAATCCATGAACAATTGCTTTATTATTTCACCTACATAGTTTTCAAAAGAATTTAAATTTTCATAGAGAAAATGTCATATATAACTTCATAAAGTTACAAGTATAAATGGCATAAATAGCTTTAAAAAAATCACTTTTGTCAAATGTACCCTTAGCGGATAAGAACTAAAGAAGCAGACAAAACAGAACACCTAAGTAGATAAGAGTGTAGTACCCTAAGCCAACAAGCCTCACTAGGAGAAACGGACAGTAACTTTCCACCTAAAGGATTAGCTTGGAGTTGTGCTTAGAATGCTGCTTCAGTAGCAACATTCCAAAAAAACAAAAATTCTCTTTAGTTCTATAAACAAATAAGCTCACCCTGTACAATAACTAATCAGAGTACCTTTTCCACTGAGAAAAATTACAAAATGTGTATAAGAGCCCTTAAAAAAAGTAAGTAAAGGTGGGCTGGTGTTATGACTCAGTGGTAGAGTGCTTGTCTAGCAAGTGTGAGGCACTGGGTTCAATCCTCAGCACCACATAAAAATAAATAAATAAAATAAAGGCATTATGTCCATTTACAACTAAAAATATTTTTAAAAAGTAAAGGTATCAAAAATATACCAATATAGGGCTGAGGCTGTAGCTCAGTGGTAAAGTGCTTATTACCTCGCATGTGAGAGGCACTTGTGTGTGTGTGTGTGTGTGTGTGTGTGTATAAATATATATATATAAATAAATAAATTTTGGTGTATATACACCAAAATTTCTGACATATATTTTTGATGGCAAAATAAAGCAGTAAATCCAATCCACACTGAAGGGGAAGGGATTATTGATGTTCATTTTAGATGCCAGTCACCACAACATGACATGGAAAACAAATAAAAACTAACCCAGAGAAAATTTTAGTATCACAAGAGTAAAGGGCACCTTTTCTTGAAATAAGAATAAATAGCATACTTCTCAAGGAAAATCATACAAGACAAAAATTAATAGAACAATTAAAAAACAAGATATGAAGCTGAGCACGGCAGAGTACACCTCTAATCCCAGTGGCTCCGGAGGCCAAGACAGGAGGACCAAGAGTTCAAAGTCAGCCTCAACAAAAGCAAGGTGCTAAGCAACTCAGTGAGACACTGTCTATAAATAAAATATAAAATAGGGCTGAGGATGTGGCTCTGTGGTTGAGTGCCCCTGAGCTCAATCCCTGGTAGCCCCCCAAAAAAGAAAAAAGAAATCTAACAATCCATGCATAAAATACCCAGCATTTACACAACACACACACACACACACACACACACACCCCTTCCTTTACCTCATATTTGTACAAAAGAAATACCAAAGTGAATTTTGGAGCAGGAAGAAAAAGGATCTCAGATAAAAGATCCCCAATGTCCAAAAAGATCTGAGTATAAAAAAGGTTTAAAATAA